GGAAAATGAAACGAAGGCCAATGGTTTTCTGAAACTGAAACCCAGTGTTTGTGTTTTTAATACTTTAGATTTTTTTTTTTTTTTTAAATCTGATTGGTTGACAAGAATAAGCTTTTGAAAGTACCTTGCTTGAAAAATGTGAACAAGTCTGAGAGGAACAGTGCCGTACTTATACGGTACAGGTATGATCTCTACATTTTTTTTGTATAAAAATCCATGCTTTAATGATTTTCTATTTTTTTTTCTTTGAAATGAAAATTAAAGTTTTCATTTTTGGTTGAGTTACAGTTTGATTTGAGGATCTAAACAAAAAGCTGAAGTTTGAGTACAAGTAGTTTCACTTGTATCTCTTCTTTCATCTTAAATTTTTTTTTTTTGAGGATTTTTTGTTTAGAAGTTTTAGCTTTTTTTTTTTTTTAATTTTTGAATATTTTTAAATCTATTACAATTGTCACTGGGGATTATTTTTCTGAATTTTTAATGAATTTCAAATTTGGACTAATCTCTGCTTGAGCTGCAAGTGAAAGAGAGCACTGGTTTTAGTAGTTTTTTCTTGTTGGGTTTACTCTGAGGATATTGTTTTTATTGTTTGTTTTATGATTTTTGATTGATGGATTTCTGTTTTCTAGGTGGCTTTGTTTGCCTTATATGCATGGAAGCAAATCCAGGTGTTACAGTGATAGGAGCAGAAGCTCCATCAGCTTATCAGATGGCGCCAAGGACAGATAACGCTAGACAGATTGGTGGCGGCTCAATGGCGGTGGAGGCTTCTCCAGTTAAGTGTAGGATTAACTGGTAGTATGAAAAAGAAGAAGAGAGGTAGGCCTAGGAAATATGGACCAGATGAGACAATGGCAATGGCATTGTCGCCAATGCCTATTGCCTCATCTGTCGCGCCTGGAGGAGGCGAGTTCTCTGGTGGAGGAAAGCAGGGAAGAGGGCAAGGCAGTGGTTATCAGAAGGGAATGGAAATGGAGAATTTAGGTAATATCTAATAAGCCCTTTTGAAGAAAGTTGTATGTTTGTTTGTTTTTTACTTCAAATTTTAGCATGTTGTTGTCTTAGTTCAAGTTCGCTACGAAGAATCGATGAGGATGGTGTGAATTTCATGTTATAGATTTGGTAGGGGATAGTAATGTTTCTGGTTTCTGTTGGAGTATGGTTCAAGCTAAGTGCAATTGCCAATTAGACATGCACCAGCGTTTTGAAACCGGTCGCCTGATTGATTCGGAAATTGCTGATTGCCCCTTTGAAAGATTCCATATGTGAAGTCATTCCTTAATAATACTTGTTGAACTTTTTTGTGTGACCTTATTGGAGATGCTGTTGTTCAGATTCGGTAGTGGATAGTAACGTTTCTGGTTTCTGTTTTGTTTCTTGCTTCTATTTCTTGGAGTATGGTTCAAACTAAGTGCAATTAGTCCTGCACCAGGGTTTTGAAACCGGTCACTCTGATTGATTCAGAAATCGCTGAGTGCCTCTTTGAAAGATTCCATAAATGAAGTCACTCCTTAATAGTACTTGTTGAACCTTTTTGCGGGACCCTTGTCGGAGATGCTGTTCTTCAGATTTGGAAGTATAATGCCGGTTTTGTGAATGAAAAAGTGGCGTTTTTGTGTGGTTGGTGTGACTAGTGACTTGAGAGGTTGAGGAATATTCTTCTTGTGGCCTTTTCATCGAGGATTATTCAAGATGCTCGCAATGATACATAGAAACAGAATTAAACTTGTTAGAGGAGCAAGATTGCTTGAGCGGTAATTCCTTTTTGTTACCAAGGATTAAGCAGACAGAAAATATGTTTCTGTTCTTGACCTTATGGAATCTGGTTTCCTGAAGTATTAAACGGCTACATTGCTGGTTCCAAGTTGAAATCCTTCGTTGAATTCATGCCAAATCTCAGCGATGTGTAGACCTATGTTTCTGGTTTCACAAACATGGCTAAAGTGCATATTAGTACATAATTTTTTTACTTAAAGAGCAAAATTCCATATTTACCGATGTTCCTTAACTGTTTTGTAGGTGAGTGGGCTGCTACGTCTGTAGGAACAAATTTTACGCCACATGTCATCACTGTCAATGCCGGTGAGGTACGCTTTGATACGGGAAAGAGATAGAAGAATGGCTTTGTTACTTTTGATGGAAACATTCTTGTGATTCATTTCTATCATTGTCAAAACTCGAAGACTTATGTAGACATTCTGGGTCCATTCTTTTTGTGGCTGTTAGTTTCTTTCAAATTGTGTTGGATCTTTTCCTTGTTCATTTTTTTAAACCTTAGTCCTTGACACATGACCACTGTCAAACCATGAAACTTTGTATTGTTTTTGGGGAGAATTTGCAGTTCTCTACGGTGTTTGTTATCGTAGTTTCGCTTCTTAAACTATGAGATTCATGTTAAAGATAAATTTAGGGTGGCACTTTTACCTATTCTTTTCTTTATTCCATATTCAAGAGGGTTTCTTTATAGGTAAATCTACATTTTTCCTTACGTAATCGTGGATTTTCTTTGGTGTTTAAGGATGTAACGATGACGGTGATATCCTTTTCTCAACAAGGACCAAGAGCTATTTGCATCTTATCTGCTGATGGAGTAATTTCAAATGTTACACTTTGTCAGCCCGATTCTTCAGGGGGTACTCTGATGTACAAGGTTAGACAAATTAGAACTTACCACGACATTCCAAAATATTTGGAGTTTCCAATAATATTTATAGTTTTGTATGTAAGTTTCTCCCTGCTGTATGCAAAGATTGTTATTCTTTCAAAAACTGTAGTGTATCTATGATGTATTTGATTCTGGGATGTGAATCAAGGTTTGTTGCATGATGTTTTAAGGGACAGGAGGGGTCATAACTTCCAATTATGATGACGGATATGTTACCATGCATCGACTAAAGTTTGTAGGATTAGTCTTAGTAACCAATGGCTCATATACAAGAGAGGAAGAAACATAGAAAAATATTATTTGTTTTTTCATACATCAACATCTATGCTTTTTTGATTTTCTAATCCATGATACCCTCAACTTTTCTATTTTCTTGTAGGGTTGTTTTGAGATACTTTCCTTGTCCGGATCCTTCATGCCTACAGAAACGCAAGGAACAAGAAGTCAATCTGATGGGATGAGTGTCTCTTTGGCAAGTCCTGATGGCAGTGTTGTCGGGGGAGGAGTTGCTGGGCTTCTGGTAGCTGCCAGTCCTGTACAGGTAAGCGTTTTAGTGTTAAATTTTCCTGTGGGGGCCTCTCTTGTCGCGAGTGATTCCACCAGTAGTCTGAGCAATACGTTGAGCATCTGTTCAAACATAGTAATCCTTGTCTAAAAGAACAAGAATTGGCATCAGCCAACAAACATGCATGAGACTCGTGTCAAAATCATAGAAAACTATAATCGATCTTTAGCCATTCTAACATTTCCTGGCACTATGTGGTTTCTCGAACAATTTAAAAAGATTAGAGTCTTTTCATTAATCAATCTTGGTCTGGAGCACATTGGTTAATTTTTTTGTTCAATTATCAAGTTGTTGTAGCGAGTTTTTTACGGGGCAACCAGCATGAACAAAAATCCAAGAAGCCGAAAAATGAGTCTGTACTAGCTACCGTTGCACCAAACCTGAATATCGTTGCTGCACATGTTTCAGATGCAGAAAAAGAAGATGGAATCGATGGACTTTTGAACCAAAACTCGAATGGCCGGAAACCGAACTTTGCTACCGCTACATTCCGAAGAGAAAATTGGACCACCATGCAGGAGCCAAGAAATTTAGCAACTGATATCAACATTTCTTTACTTGCAGGTTAGTTTGATAAATCACAACCATTCATCTCAGAGGCTGACTAGATCAATCCCTGATGTTTTTTTCTACAAAGAGTGGAGTTTATGTGTTCTTGAATATTAATGTGGGATTAGCATTCCTGAGATCCAGCTAGGTTTTGATGTCTCAGGCAAAGACAACTTTTCCCAGATTTGAAAATCTCCCAATTATGGAGTAGTGAGCTTTATTAATCTGGTTTTGTTGATATCCTTCAACGACTGACTTGGTTAAAATCCAATGAAATCTAGTTTATTACTGAAAAGATTTAAGAGTTAGTATTTGATCCACCATCCAAATAGATTGGCCATGTCTCTTTTTTTTATAGATGTTAATCTTATCTAAATTTAATAGAAATTCGATTTTTTATACAAATATGAAGATGTAGATAGATATTAAATTTTGAGCATGAAGACTTAGATCAATATAAGTTTAAATTTTGTTGAGTATGGATATGAGAAAGGATAATATAGCAATTGTCCCTAATTTTTTCTTATCCATATATGTTTCCGTATCTTATATATAATTATATATATATTTAGTAAATAATTTTTTTATTTAATAATATAAATTTATTTTAGATTAATTAGAATTAATATATTTTTATTTATAAAATATTTATAAAATATTTATAAAATATTACATAAATATGTAAGATAAAAAAATAAAAATTTATTTTTTATTTTTTAGAAAAATGTTACAGTACGGAGATTAATTATACTTATTAAATATCAGTTGAGATGAAGATGAAGATGAATTTAAAATACTCATTGAATATAAGTACAAAAATAAATATATATAAAAAATTAAAATAAAAACTAAAATAAAAAAAATTAAAAATGTTATGATACAAGAATTAATTGTATTCATTAAATATCATCGGAGAAGAAGATAAAGATGAATTTAAAATATTTATTGAATATAAATATAAAAATAATATGTATAAAAATCGAAAATGAAAATAAAAAATATTTAAAAATTGTATCCTATCCATTGACATCTTAAGACTTTTCTCATCTCAAATCTCTGTTTTTTGCTTTGTTTTATTCTAAATTCTACTATTAATTCAAAGATTATCGGGAATCAATTTCTAGGTCCACAAATGGCGCTGTTGCCGTTGGTTGAGAATTGAGAACTTTTCTAATCCGACTCGACTGGATTTGACCAGATATAAAAGCTTGCCAGCCCTTCTTATTTTTACTCAATACAAACTGGCATGGATTCTGAGCATCCAGCAGCCCCATTAAAATTTATCTTAAGAAGCATTTGTTCTACAACGTTTGGCAGATTAATATAAATGAAACTTCACCATAACAAGTTTGGAAACACAAAAAAGAACAGCAGAACATACATGGATTTTTTGGTTTTCAAGCTTATAATTTGATGGACATTATCACAAACTTCAAGCTTATAATTTGATGTACATTATCACAAACTTCGTCAGCCTCATCTGAACCCTGAAAGATTCATAGGAACTGATTCCACAATATTTTCCGGCCCTTCCTGCATTTTCCAGCATGATTTGAACCAATTAGTTAACAGTATTCTAGAGATTTTTTTTTTCATTTTTTTATACTTTTTTTTTAATATATAAGAGATTGCAGCCTAAAAATTCAAACTTCAAATCTGTTGGATATCACCTTTTAAAGGTAATTGCATGATCCAATCGAGCTAAGTTTAGAATTTTTTTTTTATATTTTAGATTATCAGGATTTAAACTTTGATCACTAACACTCTATTAAAAAAATAGAGATTTTCATTATTATGTCAAAATAATATAATATGGAGGTGGTAGATAAGACTTACTAAAGATAGTTTCTTTCTTTGCAGCACTCGATAGCTTCATCAAGCATTTCCTCAACCCCATATTTAAATTTGAAACCTGCATCCAATAGTTTCTTTGATGACAAACCAGGGACTTTTGTACCTTTGATTTCAGCCAAGAAACTGCGAAGAAAATAAGTTGGAGAAAAATCTGCTTTTAGTCCAAGATTGTTCTATTGTAAGTTTGAATTATTGAGAAAAATGCAGAGGAAAATCACTTCACTCACTCTGCTGTTGGAATTGGGAACTCTGGATACTTGGAAGAAAGAATTTCAGCCATCTTTAGAATGCTTATAGTGTCGTAAGAACAATTGTATCTCCCTTTTGCTTCAGGATACTCAAGCAGGAAAATATGTGCCCTTGCAACATCATCAACATGCACCATTGATATATTTAGAAGAAGGCTATATTCATGCTCGTTCCCTGTGCACAATCAAACAGAAACACTTGCTGAATCCAAGATTTAATTTAATTAGTTCATACAGTCATGGTATTTAGTAGGTTAGAAGTTTGAACAATAACGGATTTAGGATTTTTTTTTGCAAAAGTGTCAAGTTATAATATATATAACTGTTGACGGATTTACCAATTTTATCAGATAGGGTGTCAGGACAAATTTTCTTGTTTTTCTAATCTTTGGATATGTCTATAGACACCCTGTTCTTGAATATTGATGTGCCCCAAGTTCAAATTCCAACACTGCAATTTTTTTTTTTTTAAATTTCAGATTACAATCTCTTTTGTGAAAAATTCGTTGGATTTTGAATGAAACAGAGTAATAAAACCCGTCCCATTACTATATATATATATATATATATATATAACTGTTGAAGGATTTACTAATTCTATTGGAGAGGGTGTCAACATAAATTTTTCTTCAAATTTTTTTGTTTTTCTAATCTTTGGATGTGTTAATAAATAGCTAATTTTTAAAGATAGATTTATCTTGAAATTAAATCTCGATATTTGTAATATAAATTTTTTTATCTCAAATTACAATATCTTTTATAAAAAAACTTTTTGGATTTAGAATGAAACATAGTAATAAAACTTGTCACATTTCATAATTAAAAACCTAACCAACAGAAGAAAACAATTTTGCATGCATCAAATTAAGATGGGAAGAAAGATAACTAGCTTTTTACCCAAGACCAGAGCCAATGTTGAGCGCACTGAGCCAGGGAACTTGGGGCAGATGAAAGGACCAACAACAAACGTAGGAATCACTGTCACCAAATCCAATCCATGTTCTGCTGCAAATTCAAGAGCAGCCCTTTCTGTCAAAGTCTTGGAAATCATGTAAGTATGCATGTGTGGATTTGACGTTTCCCTAACAAATCCCACGTCTGTCCAATAACTCTCATCCCTCATCTCCTCATCCTCGTTGTTGAACTGAACGGCTGATGCACTAGAAGTATAGACAACTCTCTTCAGAGTCTTTGATTTTAAGCATGCCTTCAAGATGCCTAGTGTTCCACTGATTGCCCTTCTGATTACTGCTTCTTCAGGTTCTTTGTACTCGAAATCGACAGGGGTGGCAACAAGGAGGACTCCTTTGCATCCTTCAATGGCTGCATCGAAGCTGTCAGGGTCATTGAGATCTGCACTGTAAATTTTCAGCTTTTCGGCTGCCCCTGGCAGATTGGTGAGGAAACTAATGTCTCTTTTGTTTTCTGGTCATATGTCACAGATTAAAAAAATCAACAATAATGTAGTATGTTTTACTAATATAGACTCAAACCATTCATAAATTATTTGGGTTGAAATAAAAAAAAATTCGAATTTATGCTACTCAAATAACAAATCTAAGCCGAGTTGAAGTAATTTAACACCCAACTTGAGATGTTCACAAGTGTATAAACAAGCTTAATCAAACTTTTATTTTTTTAATATATATAAATAATTAAGTAATACAATATTTAATGTTAATATTTATAATTTTATAAAATCTAACCAAATTTATCAAATCAAGTTCAAGCAAATCTCTTAAATTACGAGTCAATAAATCTATTAAATTATGAGCCGAGTTTGAGTATGAAAAATAAAAATCAATTGAACTCAAATCAAATTTTAAATTAAGATTTGAATTTTCGACTTGAGCCAAACTAAGATTCGAGCAAAATTAAAACCTGACAGTGTATCAATTCAATTCGATTCCGTTAGGCCTTTATACGACCAACACCACCCTTTAGTTTTCAAAAACCAGCGAAAGGAATGAAAATGAGCATGGGATTCAGTAGGAAAGCTGAATTAATCCCGGATAAATCATGTTTAGTTGTTCCGCAACCTGAAATCAATATCTAAATTGATCTACCCTCTTACCTGGATCCGGTCTGACAGTGGTATTGACAGAGTAACCCTCTTCTAGAAGCCTCTTGATCAGCCATGAACCTATAAACCCTGTGCCTCCTGTCACACACACAGTTCCTTTGTCTCCTTCCATCCCCGTTATCTCTCTCTTGTAATTTCACACTGCTCTCTCACAAGATTTGCAACCCCATATATCATGATTTTTCTTTGTGTTTGGTGGCGCCCTTCATTTTCCATGTGGAATTCTTTGGTTGGTATTGGTTAAAACTTCGTTTTCCCTTTTCAATTGTCTAATGAATGTGTTTTACTAGTACCGCTGACGTTTGGAGAATTTTTTTGAGTTATTATGTAAAATAATTCTGTATTATACGTTTTTTTTATCATAACTAAATAAATAAAATTTTTGCTTTGAAATTTTTTATTTCATTAAGTATGTTGATATTTTATATTATCATTAGCAATTAAGTGATTGATATGGTATGAATATATAATAAAATCATGTCTTATATTATAAATATTTAATAATCATCATGTCAATAACTTTTATTTTTATTTTTTATTTTTTTAAATTTTGAATTAAAAACAGATATTTTAAAGATTTTTGAATTTTTTAATTTAAATATTGACATAAAAAATAAATGATACTATGATATTTGGACATTTATACAAAGTATCATGATTTTATTAGGTTTTAATGTCACGGAAAGAAGTTGTCTAATAGTATTAGATTAGAATATCAAAGTATTTAGCGGAATAAAAGTTTAGATACTAAAATAAAAATTTTATTTTCTTAAGTATCAAACTTATAAAATTATATAATACAAAAGTCATTTTTATATTTAACTCAATTTTTTCTGAACATTTTTTATTGATAAAATTGATCAACAGTTTTTATTTGTTATAAGTAAATACTTAAAAAGAAAAAGTATTAGTTGGTAGTGTTAGTTGGAATGAGCATATAAATCACTAATAATCCTCAAGCACACGAGCAGAATTCTTCACATTATTGGAATGAGTATATGATAAACTAAAAGCACGTCAAAATAATTATGGGGCATATTCATGACTTCTTTGGTTGGTAGTGTTAGTTGAAAGAAAGCAATTGATCACTAGATTCCGGATTTAATTTGATTTTTTAGAATAATGTATAATATTATAAAATTTTTAAATTCAATCTAAATCTAAATTGATTTTTTTTTAAACCGATTTAATCTTAACTGAAGTCTATCAATTTGGTTCATCAGTTGTTAAAATTTATTTTTTTTATTTTTATATATTATTTTAATAAAATTTTTAATATATTTAAATATATTTATATATAAAATAATTATTTTTATTTTATAAAAATTTAAAAAATATATAAAAATTAATAAAAATATATAATTCGATTTATTTTCTTTTCAGTTTTTTACATCTGATTCAAATTTAATATATATATATATATATATATATATAATATCTTACATTGATTTAAATCGAATAAAAAAATTGATCGAATTGAATTGAATACTACGTTTTCGAATGAACTTTTGATTTTTTTAATTTTTTTCTCATACCTGTTGATTACTAATAAATGATTGGCTTAAGTGATAAAGAGAGTGTTTCATATTTTGTTGTTTAGATCTGAATCCATTAAAAAGCTGTGGAAAGATAATTTCTATGAATTCATTAGATCTGATATAAACAAACATATTTGGATCAACCCGAAAAAGGATGTGTTGAGCCGAGCATAAAAACTCCTTGTTACTAAATTAAAAAAAAGTAATTGATCATGGTCATGGCATTCTTTTATTTCTCGTTGGGTAAGAAACTTTTTAATTGAAGGTTAAGCAAAGAAACTTGGCTGCATGCAATTAGCTGCAAAACAAACAATGAAGTCCATGCTCCATGAAAACACAAGCATCCAAACATGAAATACAGCAGAAAATACATGAACTTTCCTGTTATCATACCAAAACAATAATGAGCTTCATGAACCTCGCTAAAATCCTAAAATCTTCACATGAAGTACTGCATCATCCGTTGGTTCCAAGACTTGCAATATCACGAACATGTTGTTGATGATGATCTTCCACTTATGTCTTCGGCTGTAATCTTCCATTTCAAGTCTTGATTGAACTTAAGATGAAACTTTTAAAGGACATAAGAACAGGCTTCAAGTCATAATACTTAATCATAATTAAAGACATAATACTTAATTATATTACTATCATATTTTGAAAATATTTCTAACATCATCATCGCCCAAACCCTTGGAATCCACAGTGTACCAAATCGAAACAATCAGTTAATATGTTCCTATAGATTTTGTACCGTGGTGTGAAACCAAGCTAGAGAGAGATGATTATGCTTACTAGAGAAACCTTTTTTGCTTGCAACATATCCTCAACCCCATAGTTAAATTTGAAACCCAAATCCAATGGTTTCTTTGATGACAAACCAGGCAATTTAGTACCCTCAATTTCTGCTAGGGAACTGCAAAGAATTAAAAAGGCTGTAAAAATTTTCTTTTTGTCCCAAACCAAGGTTCCATTTGTTTGGAAAATGGGGTTCAGTCCCATGTAAGTAGTTTTGGACCAAGTAAAGGCCATGGGTGAAGTGTTTTCATTGTGGTAAGGTGGGTCATATAAAACGAAACTGTAGAATCTTGAAGCAAGAGCGAAAAGATGAGAAAGGCAAGAGTTCAGATGATGGTAATGTTGCAGCAGTGAATTCAGATAGTGATTCAGTTACTTTGATTTGTACACATGGTGATTGTAATCATGTTAGTGATCCCGGTATTGAGTGGATAGTTGACACAGGAGCGGCATATCATTGTGTTCCTAAGAGAGAGTTGTTTACAACTTACAAAGCAGGAGACTTTGGTTGTACCAAGATGGGAAACAAGAGTGTGTCGCAGATTGTTGGGATTGGTGATATTGGTGTACAAACTAGTACAGGCTGCATGTTGACTTTGAGAGATGTCAGACACATTCCAGATATGAGAATGAACTTGCTTGCTATTAATGTCCTTGATAAGGAGGGATATGAAAGCCGACAAAAGAATGGACAGTGAAAGCTTCTCAAAGGATCTATGATAGTTGCAAGGGGAAAACAATGCTGCACAATGTATAATACATGGATGCAATTGGACGGTAACCAGGTAAATACCGTTGAAAATGATGATTCAGCAAACTTGTGGCACAGGAGGCTGGCACACATAAGTGAAAAAGGGTTACAGGTTTTGACAAGGCACTCTCTCATTCCCTTGACCAAAGGTATGTCTCTCGATTCATGTGATTATTGTTTGTTTGGTAAGCATCATAGAGTTTCTTTTCGTAAAAGTTCTCAGAGAAAAGAAAATAGATTGGAATTAATTTATTCTGACGTATGTGGTCCCATTGAGGTTGAGTCATTAGGTGGTAGCAGATATTTTGTTACTTTTATTGATGATGCTTCACGTAAGACTTGGGTGTATATGTTGAAATACAAAAGTCAGGTACTGCAGTATTTTTAAAAATTTCATGTCATGGCTAAAAGGATGACAGGGTTACCCTTGAAGTGTATTCGAACTGATAATGGTGGGGAATACACATCTAAAAGCTTTGAAGAGTATTGCTCAAAGCATGGGATCAGGCATGAGAGGATAGAACCTGGAACACCGCAGCATAATGGTATAGCTAAAAGAATGAATCGCACCATTGTGGAAAAAGTCAGATGTATGTTGAGGATGACAAAATTACTAAAGCCATTCTGGGGTGAAGCAGTCAACACAGCTTGTTATTTACTTAACAGGTCACCATCAGTTCCTTTGGGCTTTGACATTCCAGAAAGAGTGTGGACAGAAAAAGATGCTTCATACTCTCACTTGAAAATTTTTAGGTGTAAAGCATTCATGCATGTGCCGAAAGAGCAGAGATCAAAGCTTGACAGTAAAGCTACACAGTGCGTGTTTGTAGGATATGGTGATGAGGAATTTGGCTACAGGGTATGGGATCCAGTAAAGAGAAAGACAGTCAGAAGCAGAGATGTGGTCTTTCATGAAAAAGAAACCATAGCAGACCTTGAAAAAAATGAGAAGACTACATGAGTTACTGTTGAGTGTGATGTTTCAACACCGACAGTGATTTCACAGGAAAGAGCCACAGATGGTGAAAATGAGCCAGAAACAGAACTTGGGGATATGGATGAGCCAGCTACAGTTGGTGATGAGCCAGATGCTATTAGTTTTGAGCAGGGGGAGCAATCCTCTCTACCTGAGAGTGTTGAGCAGGGGGAGCTACCTTCGGCATCAAGTGATGTAGAGTCTCAGCCTAGGAGATCTACTAGAGAGCGCAGGCCATCTACCAGGTATCCAAGTTCAGATTTTATTTTAGTTACCAGTGAAGGGGAGCCAGAAAGCTTTCAAGATGTGAAGGCTACTCCGGATAGAGAGCACTGGTTAAAAGCAATGAAAGAAGAGATGGAGTCATTGCGAAAGAATGGTACTTATGATCTTGTTAAACTTTCAACAGGGAAGAGGCCATTAAAGAATAAATGGGTGTTCAAGTTGAAAAAAGATGGTGACAAACTAGTGAGGTACAAAGCTCGATTGGTAGTAAAAGGTTTTTCTCAAAAACTAGGCATCGATTTTGATGAGATTTTTGCTCCAGTTGTAAAAATGAGTTCTATTCGAGTGGTACTGGGATTGGCAGCTAGTTTGAATCTTGAACTTGAGCAACTTGATGTTAAAACTACATTTTTGCATGGTGATTTGCAGGAGGACATTTATATGAATCAGCCTGAGGGTTTTGAAGTGAAAGGGAAAGAGCACTTAGTTTGCAAATTGAAGAAAAGCTTGTATGGCTTGAAATAAGCTCCGCGACAGTGGTACAAGAAGTTTGATTCTTTTATGGTGAGTCATAGCTATAAAAGAACAGCAGCGGATTCTTGTGTGTATATTAAACAATTCCCTAATGATAACTTCATTATCTTATTATTTTATGTTGATGATATGTTGATTGTAGGACAAGATGCTAGTATGGTTTGCAGGTTGAAAGAATAATTGTCTAAATCCTTTGATATGAAGGATTTAGGTCCAGCAAAGCAGATTCTTGGTATGGACATTATCCGAGATATGAGAGTTGAAAAGCTGTGGGTGTCACAGGAAAAGTATGTTGAACGAGTGCTTGGTAGATTCAACATGCAACATGCTAAATCAGTTAGCAGTTCACTTGCCAACCATTTTCATCTAAGTAAAAAATCTTGTCCAGTGTCTAAGGAAGAGCAACTAGCTATGTCTAGTATTCCTTATTCTTCTGCAGTCGGTTCTTTAATGTATCTTATGGTTTGTACAAGGCCTGACATTGCTCATGCAGTTG